CCATCCTACCAAAGCCGCTTATAGAGTCAATGCAATGCTAATCAAAATATCGGTAACATTCTTCACAGAATTAGAAAAAAAAATCCTAAAATTCATATGGAACTGTAAAAGACCTTGGGTAGCCAAAGCAACCCTGAGTACAAAGAGCAATGCTGAAGGGATTATGATACGAGATTTCACACTATATTACAGAGCTATAGTCATAATAGCAGTATAGTACTGGCACAAAATAGACACCTAGATCAATAGAAAATGATTGAATACCCAAACATGAGTACATGCAGTTTCAGCCACCTGATATTTGACAAAGGGGCCAGGAACATTCATTGGAGGAAAGACAACACCTTCAGCAAATGGTGCTGGCAAAACTGAATCTCCACCTGTAGAAGAATGAAATTAGACCTTTACCTTTCAGCTTGCAGAGAGGTCAACACCAAATGGATCAAGTACCTCAATGTGACACTTGAAACTCTGAAATTGTTAGAAGAAAACATTGACAATAACCTACAAGATATTTACCTTTCAGCTTGCAGAGAGGTCAACACCAAATGGATCAAGTACCTCAATGTGACACTTGAAACTCTGAAATTGTTAGAAGAAAACATTGACAATAACCTACAAGATATAGGTGTAGGAAAGAAGTTTCTAAATCAGACATCAGTTGCTCAGGAAATAAGGCCAACAATCATCAAGTGGGACCTCATTAAACTAAAAAGCTTCTGTTCAGCAAAAGAAACAACCAAGGAAGTTCTCAAAAGAAGAAATAAAGATGACTAAGAAACATCTGAAAAGATGTTCAACATCACTAGTAATTATGGAAATGCAAATTAAAACCACTTTAAATTTCATCTCACCCCAGTCAGACTGGCTAAGATCAAAAGAACAAATGATACCAAATGCTGGAGAGGATGTGGGGAAAGGGGAATGCTCTTCCACTGCTGGTGGCATTACAAACTCCTATAATCCCTGTGGAAAGCAATGTGGAGAACTCTTCAAAAACTAAGAATGAACCTACCTTGGTATATACCCAAAGAATTCATCCTATTGCAGAGAGATTTGTATGTCTATGTTTGTTGCTTCTCCTTTCTCAATAGCTAAGAGATGGAAGCAACCTAATTGTCCCTCAACTGATGAGGGGATAAAGAAAATATAGTACATTTACACAGTGGAATTCTACTCAGCAGTAAAGAATGACAAAATCATGAAATTTGCAGGTAAATGGATGGAACTAGAAACTGTTATGGTAAGTGAAGTAACAGAGACTCAGAAAAACAAATGGTGTATGTTTTCTCTCATATGTGGATCTTAGCACCAAATCCTTATATGTGAGTATGTATCCAGATGTAGCTGCAAGAACCAGGATAATGAAAAGGAACCAGCGAGGTAAAGGAAAAGAAAGAACCTGCTAGAGAAGAACAGTAGGAGGCAGGTGTTACTAAGGGATAAATAGATAAATATGGGAGTATTTAAATGGAAGGAGCAAGGGAGAGTTATAGAAGAAACCTAGGAGATAAAGGGAAAGAAGCTCAAGAGAGATGGCCATAGGAGACCGGTATTATCAAGGGAGAAATGGAGATGATGGGGACACTTTAAATGGGGAAGCCATGGTCGAAGGGCTAAACAGAGAGAGAGGAGAGATAAATAATGCCTAGCTAGATTTAAAAATATCAGAGGGGCTCATATTAGTCCAACCACCTAATGACAAATTACACATACAATACCTCTACGTGAATCCATGTGTATAAAGGCTACATAACAAGAAACAGTGTCAGATTGGAGAAACCTTCCTTGGAGTTATTGGGCAGAGTTGTTCAAGAGACTCCCAAAATTACTCAGGCTATTGCCATAGCCTTGATTGCCTCCCAGAACTTGAAGATAAGACCCTACTGCTGAAGAAAGAACATACTTCAGACACAGGATTTGGAGCAATGGAGCTGGATCTGACCTGGAAGTCACTTCCCCTGAAGGCTAACTAGCTATCAATAACTTTGGAGAGCAATATGAAGGTGTCTAGGGAAAACATCAATTGATGGCCCAACACCAACTTCAAGACCAAATAACCACATCAATGGCCAGTACAGCATACCATATTGGTGCAATAGTGACACTTTTATCTTGGGGACAATCAGCAGTTACCCAGTTGGACTAAAAGCCCACTGAACTGGAGAAAACTCAAATGTGGTACTGTAAACAACCAAATACACATAGCTGGATTGGTCATAGAGCTTAGAGAAAACCCTAAGACTATCACATAGACTAATGTAATTTCTTACTATGTATAAAGTATGTATCATATTACAAATTCCAGTCACCACTCATCAAAGAAGATTCTTTTTAAAATTTTTTTATTGAGCTTTGTAAATTTCATCTTTTTCACCAGATGGAGACTATTACCAAGTACTACAATTGGTCACATACAGACATTATCTATGAATTGCCCAGGCCTAAGTGACATATCTACACCTAAGGGAACATAGAATAGCGGTAAAGAGGCACTAATGAATCTTTCAGTTCTCATTAATTAAGATCGCTCATGCAACAGAGGGCCATGAACCCAAAAGGTCACAAATATCCAAAGCATAGAGATCAAGAGTCTGCAGAATGATGATCCTTGGATAGGACTCCTATTACAGCAATGTTGTCAGCATACACAAGTCCCATGCAGACTCAAGCAGACAAAAACTCAGCATAGACCTGGGGAAATAGCAGACCCCAATCCTAGCTGAAGAAATATTAGCAACTGGTTACTGCTAGGTAAGAAAGAGCTAATCTTCCAAAAGTGAGGGACTCTAGATAGGCTGACTAGACCTCAGTAGATGAACTTGCACTGAGGAATGTCTGGGGACACTAGCTTAACACAATAGGCCTTAAGACAAATGACAAAAATGTATGAATTCCAGTGTGTATGGAGGGCTATGGGAAGCTACCAGTGGGGATAGGGTATAAAGATGATTAAGGCTGATTGAGATGTTCTGCATGAAATTCACGAAAATTCAATAAAAACAAATTTAAAAATACTTGTCATGTCTAATTTGTTCTGCTCGTATACTTTTGAGTATATGGCCATCTACTTGAGTTTGATCAGCCTACCAAGAGCCACACTCATAAAGACAACTAAGTCTCCCTTTCTCAGCAACTATCAATTTCTAATAGCTCCTCAACTGGGCGTTGGGGGATGGAACATCATGTCCACCTCCTTTCTCCGTTAAGGGATGGTGTCTGGTTTGAGAGTGCATAGGCCCTGTGCATGCTGTCACAGCCCCTGTGAGTTCATATATGCCTCTGTACTTTTATGTTTTTTCATTTCCCTGATGGCTAAGGATTTGGAGCATTTAAAAATTTTCAGACATTTGTATTTTGTCTTTTGATAACTCTGTTTAGTTTTGTCCTAGTTACCTTCTATTTCTGTGACAAAGCACTGACCACAGCCAGCTTTGGGAGGAAAGGGTTTATTTCACCTTACAACTTACAGTCCATCATGGAGGGACGCCAACACAGGAACCTGGAGGCAAGAATTGAAGCATAGGCCATAGAGGAACTCTGCTTACTGCCTTGTTCCTCTAGCTGTGCTCAGCCTGCTTTATTATACAACCTTGGGCTACCCGTCCAGGGAGGCATCATCCATAATGTGCTGGGCCATACCACATCAACCAGAAATTAAGAAAATGCTTCACAGACCTGGGCACAGGCCAGCTGAATGGAGAGTGCCAAAATTGAGGTTCCCTCTTCCTAGGTGTGTTATGGTGACAACTGAATCTATCCAGCACAAGCTCCATCCCCATTTTTAATTGGGGTATTTGTTTTATTAATGTTTAACTTTTTTGAGTTCTTTATGTATTCGAGACACTAACCTTGTGCCGTATGGAAAGATTATTACATCTAGTAAAGATTATTTCCCCCTTCTGTAGGCTGCCTCTTCATCCAATGATGGTTTCCTTTGTTGCACAGAAACTTTTTGGGAGCTGGAGATGGCTCAGAATTTAAGAATACTGGCTGCTCTTGCAGAGGTCCTGGGTTCGATTCCTAGTACCCACATGGCAGCTAGCAGCCATCTGAAGCTCCAGTTCCAGGGGCTCTGACACCCTTTTCTGACCTCCACAGGCAATGCATGACATGAGTGCACTTACATACATGCAGGCATTGTACTAATACACATAAAATTATATAATTTTTTAAAAATGGCTATTTAACGTGTTCAAAACAATCCATAGGTAATACTTTAGGCTGGGTATGGTGGCACACAAATTTAATTCCAGCACTTGCAAGGCAGAGCAGGCAGAGGCAGGCAGATCGCTGTGAGCTAGAGGCCAGCCTGGTCTACATAATGAGTTCTAGAACAGTTAGAGCTACACAGTGACCTGTCTTTTTCTTTAAAGATCCCGTCTTTAAAAAAAGGGAGGGGAGGGCTGGAGAGACGGCTCAGAAGTTAAGAGCACTGGCTGCTCTTGAAGAAGTCCCAGGTTTGATTTTCAGCACCCACATGGGGGCTAACAACCATCCCTAACTCTAGTTACAGGGGAATCCAAAACCCTCTTCTGACCTCTACAGGCGCTGAATGACAGAGGTGCACTTATACACTTGCAGGCAGTATATTTACACACATAAAATAAAAATAAATAAAATTTTTAAAAAGTTAGGGGCTAGAGAGATAGCTCAGATAGCACTGGCTGCTCCTGCAGAGGACTGAGGTTCAATTCCCAGCACCCACATGGCAGCTATTAACCATCCACAACTCCAGTTCTAGGGGCTCTGACGCCCTCTTCTGACCTCTGAAGGCACTGATTTTTAAATGATAGATACAAAATATGTAATTACTGGGACTGTAGAGCAGCAGTTAAGAGCACTGGCTGCTCTTGCAGGGAGCCCGGGTTCAATTCCTAACATTTACATGGCAGCTGACAACCGTCTGTAACTCCAGTTCCAGGGGAATCTGGTGCCTTGTTCTGACCTCCACAAGCTTTGCAGGCCACAGGGGCTCTTCAGCTTTTTTAAATGATAGATACAAAATATGTAATTACTGGGGCTGTAGAGCAGCAGTTAAGAGCACCGGCTGCTCTTGCAGGGAACCCGGGTTCAATTCCTAACATTTACATGGCAGCTGACAACCGTCTGTAACTCCAGTTCCAGGGGAATCTGGTGCCTTGTTCTGACCTCCACAAGCTTTGCAGGCCACAGGGGCTCTTCAGCAGGCAATATACTCATACACATAAAATTAAAAAATAATAAATAAAAGTTTAAAAGAAAATACTAAAATGTAGAATGAGTAAGGTAAGAGCCATCATTTCCTAGAACAAATAACTGGCCTTTAAATGCACTGTGGACTTGAATCTTATCTCCACAAGTATCATTATCAGTGGCATCCAGGTTTTCAGGAGGAGGACTATAGTGTTATCCTGAAAACTAGCTCAGGGTTGAGTGGTTGTCTTTCATGTTCTCTTTTGATGACCTGGAGGAAGAAGATTGTGGAGTCAGATCATTTGTGATGGTGCATGTTGTAATATATACTTCTCTCCTTACTCACATTGACTAATGGCCACACGTCACATGCACCTCTGTTCTAACTTTTATCTATCTCCTTTAATGAATTTCTAACCTTGGAGTCAGCTTTCCTCCCTTGATTGGGACTATGAAATTAACTATGCATTCCCACCCAGCTTGAACACAGGCTGAGGAATGGGGGGTGCTGCAGAGCCACAGGGAAAGGAAAGAACTGTGGCAGTTATGGGAAGGAATAACTGGAACATTCCCTGGAATGTTTGCACTGAGCAGAAGGGTGGGAAAGTGTACAGGGGCATGTCTAGTAGAGCTGCTGTGAGGAGGAAAGGTTTAGAATGTTGACTCATGGTGAGAGCTGGAGACATTTAAGAGCATTTCTGTCTGACTGACTAGGCACTGTAATATTAGCAGGTGGCTTTTCCTTGTTTGTTTTTGTTTTGTTGTTGTTGTTCAAGTACAACAACACGAGTGTCTGTCAGTGAGATAACAGCCTGGATTATGGTACCTCTGTGGTGTAATTTGCTCAGGGCATCCTTATGAACTTATGTATGTTATGAGTTCTTTTCATGATCCTCTGGGATAAACAATATTTCTATGTTATAGGTGAGGACCCTGAGATTCTTCACGTCTTTCATCACTTTGAAAAATCATAGAGCCAGAATTAGACACTAATCTCTTAATCAATCCAATTTTCTATTAAACAACCCCTCCATTAAATTTTGTCATTTTTATTATTTATCAGTATATAATGGCTTTTGAAAGTCTTTCTTGGTTACCTATCTTTAATATGGCTAATAATAGCATTATTTTTAAAAACATTATAGAAAGAAAAAGTTTACATATATTAATGTATGAAGCTTAATTTTCCTTCCACCTCCTGAATTTTCCATGAAGACTGATAAGAATATGAAATCATGAAGAATGATGCTCCCTTTGTGCACACACCTGCATGTAACTATGCCTCACAGACCTCAGCTGCCGCCTGTCTGCACTTGACGCCAATTCAAAGCAGATGAGTCTAAGGCTGTCGCCTGGTTCACAGTCAATGTTGGTCAGTCGTCCACATACCACCACTTCCATCATCCCTGTATCATCTTGTATTCCATAGTAAGTGCATTCATTCCTCACATTTTTCTGCAAAAGAAATTAACTTTGATCTTCTGAAAGTGTGCCAGAATTTTCCACATCTATGAGAAATAAAGGGTGTTAACAGAAATTTGTCTCTGACAAGGGAAATACAAATGTTAGGTTATAACTAAAGGTATAAAACAGCTTGAGATGTTCAGGTTCATAAATCCACACTTTGGAAGACTCTCACAAAATTTTCTTCTGGATTTTTCTAGAAACTTCTGGAGTTTTCTAGAAAAAATTGCTACTTTTCTTAATCTTTACTACTATCATATTTCAAGAGTTAATTGGGATTTCTTAAAGGTCCTGAGTAGGAAAAAATTCTGATTCCCTTCTTAGGTTTCCTTTCAGAAGCCATCAATTGCCTGTACTCTTTCATCTAGAAGTGAGACCTTATGAGATTTTCCCCATCCATGTTGGCATGTTAGCTGGCATTTTCACTGTGTAGGTCTTATTTAGGAAACCATAATATTGAGATTTCATGTGTGCAATCTCTCTATCATTCTGAAAGACACTAACAGCAGGCATACTGGTCCTCTGGCTCTTTCAGTCTTTCCATGTTGAGATTTCGTGGGTGCAACCTCTCTGTCATTCTGGAAGACACTAACAGCAGACATACTGGTCCTCTGGCTCATTCAGTCTTTCCACCACCTCTTCCATGATATTCCCTGAGTCTTTGGTGTAGGCATTGCATTTTAGATGTATCAATTGGTACTGGGCAAAATACACTCACTTACTATCTGCATTTTGACCAGTTGTGACTCTCTGTAACTGTCTCCACATCTTGCAAAAAGAAATTTCTTTGATAAGGGGTGAGAGCTGCACTTATCTGTGGGTTTAAGGATAAGTGTGTTAGAATACAGTTAGAAATTGTATTGGTTTAGGGAAATAGCAGTAGTAGGTTCCCTTCTAGAGTCCATGATTTTCTTTCTAAAGAATTTTCCTGCTGATATCTTGAAAACACAAGAATGTTTAGAGGCTATGCCATCCTATAACATGGGAAACTCCTCTCCCATCTCCCTGATCAGGGAGACATTGACTTTCTGTATTCAGTAGGGTGACCAGATTACAAATGCCATGTTATGACTTAAAAATCTTAAATTGCAAATGGAGTTTTTCAAAATACTACAATGACTTACCTTATGTACCATAAAGACTACATTCACAAATATTTCTCTTCTGTGTGAGCAAAGATGAACAATTTTAGGGGTTACATTGGTCTTTTGCCTCAGTGCTGCTGGGATATACATCACACAGTTGCCATTTACATCAGACACACAGGAGGCACTGTGTATCTCTAGAAACCTATTTTGGGCAAAATAATCTGAGATGGCAATGACTTTGTTTGGGATGAACTTCTCCCTCAGGACTATAATAACACCTTCACTCTGAAGAATTCAGTTTCAGTAGCCACTGTGGCATGAAACATTTTTTCCTCTCCTCTCATGCCATATGTAAATGGTTCTGTTGCTTTTAATACCATTACTTCTTTGGGACCTTGGGGATAGCCATCTTCCTCAGAAGCTTCTATGGGTTCATTCCTCATTCTTGTTCTCTACATAGAATGCACACAGGAAAGAAAAGCACAGTTAGGACATATGATAATAACACCTTCACTGGGTAGAGAAAATATAAACAATGGCTGATATGTTATAGCACATGGAGATTTATATAGTAATTTCAGTTGGTACTAATCATATGTAGTAGCTGAAGAGATTGTATTTATAATTTTTGTGTTTAGGGGAATGAACCTGAGGTCTTACACAATCTAGACAAGTCGTCTACCTGTGAACTACATTATGAGGCAAATAGGGGTGTTCCAGTTAGCTTTTCTCTGTTACTGTGATAAAGAATTGACTAAACCCAACTTGGGGAAGAAAGGCTTTATTTCAGTCTACAACTCCCAGGTCACAGTCCAACACAGAGGCAGGAACTTAAGACAGGAACCTGGAAGCTGGAAATGAAGTAGAGACCATGTAGGAACACTGCTTACTGGCTTGCCCCCTGGCTTGTTCAGTTAATTTTCTTAGACTGCCAAGGTCTACCTGCCCAGGTATCACACACTGCCTACAGTGGGTTGGGCTTGCCTATATCAACCAGCAATCCAGGAAATGTCCCACAGACAGGCCCACAAACCAATCTGATGGACTTAGTTCCCTAACTGAGGTTCCATTTCAAAGGTGTCTCTAGTTTGTGTCCAGTTGATAAAAACTAAACAGAACAAGGGACGCTGTAAGACAAAAATCACAAAATCTTTTCCATAAAGCTCTTACTGTCTTGCAAAAAAGATAGCAAGGCCACCACTGGAAGAAATCCAAGAACTTGGCTAATCTGAAAGGATTCTCAGTAGAGTCTCTTCTCTTTGCCTGATAGCGGTGGTCAAGGAGAACCCCAGAACTGGGAAAGAGGCATGAAGGAACTTTCCTCAGAGCATCCATCTCCACAGTGTCTATTATGGTTTCTGAGTTTCTGGAGACTACTTTGAATTAAAAGAAAACTGCAGAGCTGGAAGAGAAGTAGGATGGGAATCACAGGAGACCTGGATCTTAGGACAGGGTGACAGCTGACTCAATGTGATCTGAGGGCTCATACAGACTTATGACCCCTATGCCATAGGGTTAGCTCTCAGCTCTCATCAAGGTGCTCCAGTGCTTACTAACACCAGGAAGTGCATTCCCAATGTAACCTGATTAGTAGCTTACAATATGAAAACAGCATCCTGACAAAAAGTGCAGAGGATTTAAGGAACAGACATCCTTTGAGAAATGAAAGAAAACCTCAGGAACAGGTATTTTCTCCTTGCAGGTATAGAAAAGACTTGAAACACCCTAAAACTAATTAGTGTAGGATTATCTATGTATGAACTAACCGTGTAATTGCTTTAATAAATAGCAAAATAATTTAAATGTAGTTTTGGTTTAATGAATGGCAGTTCATTGCATGTTAACTATTTTATAAACCTGGGCTATAGAAAAAAATGTGTAATGTGATACAGTCTAGTGTAAAAACGATGCTTTGAATATATTTCCACAAATGGTAAAACAAAAAAGTGCTGGACGCTGAAACATTGCAGTTGGTAGAGAGATTCCTAATAGTTGAAATTTCATTGTTTTTGTGTATGTATCTAGTTTTGCAAAATGTTTTAACAGTAACGGTACAATTAAATATGAAAGAAAAATAATTGGGGGCATATTTTGGTTGACTCTATATTTCTGCGTTCTTTTTTACCCTACTCTCTCCCTGTAGCGGTACACTGAGGGAAAAACAAAGGTGAAAACGGAACAAAAATAATAAAATTAAATAAACTCATGCCTAATCGTACTCTTTAAAGACTAAGAGGATTAGGTGCCCACTGAGTCCTAGCTTTTCTTAAAGAAGGAGACCATGGACACAGAATTTGAATTTTTAGAGGGACCTCAAATGTACACTTAATAAAAATGAGTGATTTCTTTAAATAAAAGATAGTATTTCCTAGGAGGTTAATGGGGAGGCCTTCTGAGGCTGTGCTCATCCCTGTCATTCTATTGTGAGAACAACAAATTCATACCCTGGGTGCTGTTGCTGGCAACACTGGAGGAGCCTAATGATTGCTGGATACTGTTGCTGTAGCCATGCTAGGAGCCATGAGACTGCTGGATGCTGATTCGGAGAGTGTGTGAGATGCTCGGCCACCGCTGGACAGTGCTGCTGGAGGCACTTGAGGAGACTGGATTCTGCAGAGCCCAGTTCTGGAGGCACATGAGCAGCAGGCACACCGCTGGACACTGTTGTTGGAGTCACTTGAAGACCCTGGTCAACATGGGAAGGTGTTAGAGGCACTTGAAAGGGCAGCAGGGTTCTAGAGGCTGTTGCTAGAGACACCAGGGGAATCTAGAAAATGATGGAGAATGTGGCTGAAGGCCTCTAAGGCATATGAAGAATTATGTGCAATGTTTTTGGGGAAGTCTGTTTAGTTAAAATTTTAAAAATGATTATATAAAACCTCTGGCTAAATAAAAGTGTTATATATAGCCTGTGGTGACTATAAATTACATCATAACAGCACACTTTGTTGAAAGCAAAAAATTTAGGCTGTTTTGATGTATGCATTTGATAAGGTAATGAATGATTTAATCATATGATGAAACTGTACAATCTTTAGTTTGGGGGTTTTATTTCCCTTTTTCTCAAAGAACAGTGTTTGAATTTTTCTCTTGTTAGTAGTTTATTTTTCTCTTGTGTGAGGAGACTGAACTGAAGGTCATGTCTATGCCACGCAGGTGCTCCACTGTGGAGTTTTATTCCCCAGACTTTAGTAATGGTTGCTAATATCAAAAGAAAAATGTTGAATACCAAGAGAATCCACTTCATAATACTGCATTCTAATTATATTTATGTCTTTGGGCATGCTGTCACCTGAACAGATGGCCAGAGGTGAGCATAGGATCGACTCATACAGAAGAAACATTTATTCTCTGTCACCCTCCATCCATCCCTGTGGTGACAGAAGGGCAGCTCTAGATTTAGAAAGTTCAAGTGTGGTTTTGCTGTCCTTCAGCAGGCTTTACAAAACCATGCCATTAACCTGTCTGATATTTCAGTAATGCCTTAAAAATGCTTTAAAATTAATGCTCATTTATTCATTTAGGGTTAGAGGGCATGCTACAGTGTGTCTATGGAAGTCAGAGGACAACTAGAGGGAGTGGATTCTTTCCTTCCACCATGCGGATTCTGGGAATCTAACTCAGGTCATTAGGCTTGACAGCAGGCACCTTTATCCACTGAGCCTTCTTGTTTATCAGAGTAATGTTTGTTGTTGTTTTGGTTCTTTGAGAAAGGGTCTCCCTGTAGTCTCAGCTGGCCTAACTTGGCTTTGTAGACCAGGCTGACCTCAGTCTTATAGAGATCTTCCTGTCTCTGCCTCTGAAGTGTTGAGATTAAAGGTGCATGCCACCACTGTCATGAGTAATGATTTTATATTTGCATCAAGGGAATTAATAACAGAAGTTAGAGTACACAGTAGTTTGGAAAAAATATTGAGCATGAATTTGCTAACTTGGAACTTCATTTTCACCAAGTCCTTGGAATAGATCATGAACTAGATTTCCAAAAAAGTCATAAGGGGAGAAATTAGTGGATTTTCCACTGGAGCTTATTCATTCCACCTGTGAGGAAGGTGTATTCACGGTTGGTTGTGGTTCCAGGTCTTCATTTGTGGTGGACGTAGGCTGGGAAGTACTGGGTTCATCCTGCCTGTGTCTTCTCACTGCAATATTGCTTCTTTCTGTTTGTCTCCTTTTAACTGATATAGAAAAGAAAACACATAACCCCAGCTAAGCTCTTCTATTCCAAGAAGCTGAAGTCCACTTAGTCTGGCTTCCTCTCAGCTCCTGCCTGTGTCTCCCTATGCTTGCCTTCCTCTGCTGTAGAAGCTCCACTTGGCCACATGTCAGCCAACACCACCAAGGCAGGCACAAGCACTGCCTCAGAGGATTCTTAGTTGTCCCCAGAAGCAGTGGAAACAGCCTTCCCATCCCGAGGGCTTCTACCCACCTCAGTCATGCCCCATCCTAATCCTCAAATTCTATAGTCTGATTTTTTTTTTTAATTAAAGTTTAGGGCTGGGGAGATGTCTCAGTGGGCAAAGTGCTAGCTGTGCAAGAGTAGAGACTGGGATTCAGATATCTGTGGAACATGTAAAAGCACCCATGTATAAATATAACACTGAGAGATATATTTCTGGGGCCTGCTGACTTGCCTATCTGGCTGAAAATGCATGATCCACCTTCAGTAAGAGGCTCATTTTCAAAAAATAAGTTGAAGAGTAGTACACACACACATACACACACACACACACACACACACACACACACAACAATTTAAAGTTTACATGATGATAATAATTGACAGGTCATCTCCTATAGGTCTCTCCAAATTAGAGATATATCAAAATTATAATCTTATTTACAATGGGTCAAAGTGCTGATATTTACTTTAACTTGTTGCAATTTTTTAGGGACAGTCGTGCTATGTAGACCAGGCTCATCTTAAACTTGTCTAGTTTACAATGCCCCAGCACCTTGAGTGCTAGGATCACAGATCTGAGTCACTAAGTCCAACTTCTTCATATCATTCTCATACCTAGTGACTTTATGAAAAGGAACTTCTTCCTATATGTGACAGGCAGGATTTCCTTAAATACTGACTGCTTTTCCTGCTGGAATAGGTATTAATGATAGATTATCCTGAATATTAATTGAATATTAGTATCCTGAATATTAATTTTACTAAAAATCTATTTAAATATTTTAAAATGAAAATTGTTCATAATTTTTCTTTATCATTTTCTCATCTTTCTAGAGTAGTGAAAGCTTTCTTCTTTCTCAACAACTTCTTTTATTTTTTTTCCTTTACCTCAAACTCCCAAAGACATCCACCCCAAATAGATTAGAATTCTTTATAAGAAAGAAGTTTTCTAAGTTGAATTACTACGTTTCTATAGCTATTGAGGCACACACTGGGAAATGGATGTGTCTAATGTGATCACCTCTGGATGCTAGCCAAGGTTGGGAAGGTGTAGGCTGGGTGGAGGTCAAGCCTGCTTCTATGTTACCTTTTACCTTCTTTTCTTTAAGACTCTCTGCCAAGCCTCCAAGTGTTGGCATATCTGTGTTTGTCCACTCCAGCATCATTTGGGAACTTGTATTCCATTGAGTCAGTAATCTTAATTCTGTCATAATTTCTTCCATTTTTTAGTTAGTTTTAGTTTCTTGCCTAGTAAAGACGATTATCCTAAAATCATAGTCACTAATACTCTAATCCTTCTAGAACAATTTTCTTGTATTCACTCACCATCTCTCAAATTATGGTTGAGCCTATGAGACAAAAATGGGTACAAGATTAGACAGACATACAATCTCAAAAATGGATGATGTTTTTGTGGTGTGAATGACCCATATCAAGGTGTCGTCCATAAGTGTGTATATCTGAAAGAGAGACTTCATTACCAGATGTGTTACTGTACAAAATGCATGTAGAAATGCTCCATTAATAAAACATCTAGGAAATTCTTCCCTATTAGTGATAATAGTTGGGTTAGGTCAGTGGGGGTTGTGATGAAAGAAAGTGGAGAAACTGGCAACTGTTGCAGTGGTTAGACTATGGGCTGTTAGTTTTAAAATCCTTGGGTCCTCCTCTTATTCATGAGCAGTGCTGGAGGAACCTGTTCCTGGATGTCTGCCTGTGGTTCCTGCCTCTTCTCACACTCATTGTGACTGTAGTATCTGGCCTATAAACAGGTTGCACCCACCTCATACATGAATAATAGTCAGATTTAGCACTGTGGTCATGCTGAGGCACTGACTTGTGTCTACTTGGCTCTTACTAAACTTCCTGTCTTTTTAGCATCCAGTCTCCCCTGGTGTTAGACCTTCCTCTCTTGGTCTCCTGTGCTCCTATTGCTGTTACATTGTTGAACATTATATACTTTTCAGTGTAGGATCATAGCATTTATTATTTAGAATTATGTCAATAGCTGAGTTTTTTCTGCTTTTAGGCTTGATTTTGTTAGTTGGTCTTATTTGCTTATAGAGATTGTTTTCAATCTTTCAAGCTATGATTAATTTCTGTTGGAATCCTTTAATTGTTCCCAAATTTATTAAAACATTTCCTCACTCCTTAAAAATCTTGGAAGACCTTGGATAATCTGCGTCTTTTGCTTATTTTCTTTTATATCCCTGACATCACATGCTACAGAGTGTGCCACACTCTGTCCCTTGTCCTGCTTCTTGGTGTAGTAAACTTGTTTTTCATTATGATCCTCATGCTTCTTTCTGTCTGTCTCCCATAAGAAGAAAAATCCCTGAGGTTTTTTCTTGTGAAAACTTCTAAAATTCAGGAAAGTACTAAGTCTCATGAGTTTGGATCTAATTAGTACTTTGTATACTAATATTTTAAAATCTCAGAGTAGGGATGAATTCCAAATCAGCTTAAATTTGTAAGTCATTTTAGTTATTATGTGTCTGTATCTTTGTTTAATCGGAATGTTACATTTTCTGTGGTTGTTACTTGCTTCCTTTTTTGAAAACAAAAAGAAAATCCCTAGCTGAAGATATTCATAGGGTAAAAGGAAAAAAACCACACAAAGACACATGACAGTGAAGATGAAGAGTAGTCTGGAAAATGAGTATTCTGTAAACCTTGACTAGCAAGTCAAGTGACAGCTTTTGTTAAATTTTATTTAAGTACTCTGAAACCTTCATGTTTTAGTGCTCTGTAACTTGAAGACTGGATCCTCTGCAAAGATTCAAGGAACACATTAAAACTGACACAAAAAGTCTGCCTTCAGCAAAACAGTGGAATGATACTTTTATAATATAATATTGGTCCAAAATGCCCTAAATCAAAGATGCCTAAATGCCCTGAAACTATAAAAGTTTAATTTGATTTGACACGTGACATCACAACTTTTTCCTGAAATATAACCAGACATGACATGACAGGAGACTATGTATATTTTTATGCATCCCACTTACATGTGAACATTCATGGTTTTGTTGAAATATCACTTTGATTTGGAGTGGCGATCCCAATCTCAATGGGATTTGAAGTAATATACTATCTAGGTAACATGCATTAACACCCTTTTGTAGCCAGAAAGTTCTGGATATCAAAATATATTTTTTCCCAATGATGCAAATGGGTACTTTCAACTTACCCTGAATTAAAAAAAATTAGACCAGTATTTTAACCTTGATAAAATGACGTTTACATAGGAAAGTCTCAAAAATATTCTCTGATACTCAGAGTGCCGGTAATTTAAAAAAACAAAATGCAGGAACACATATGGTATTGGAAATCATTGTGAGAAAGCAGCAAGTTAAGAAAACTTCAGGGAAAAGCTAAGCACAACGAGAAACAAATTTAATTTAGTTCAGCTAGGCTTTAAAAGCAAAGCCCTGACCACAGTGAGGAGAAAAATGAAGCTTATCTATGAGATTGGGGATGGAGGAGAAGAACATAACAGTTTATTAAGGATCTTTCCTTCTTTCTTTTCTCTTTTTTGTGTAGGAAGATTAATAAGTTACTTGGAAACTGGACAGGAAAATTTTGATCTCCTGAAATGCTAAGATAATGAAATATTTATAAACATATAGAAACAGTGACACTGAGATTCAGTTTATCTTCTGAACAGCACTGAGTGGCATATTCTGTGCTGTCTCCTTGGGGAGAGAAGTACTGAAACAGTCAGCTCTCCTCCAAATGTTCCTATGTTTTGATTTCCTTAGCTTGTGCAACTGAACAGTTTGCTTCCTGTAAACATTCTAATAACCATGAAAACTTGAAGTTGACTTATGCTGAGGTTTTTAGTCCTCCAAATGTTCCTATGTTTCGATTTCCTTAGCTTGTGCAACTGAACAGTTTGCTTCCTGTAAACATTCTAGTAACCATGAAAACTTGAAGTTGACTTATACTGAGGTTTTTTTTTTTTTTATGTTACACATCTTCTAAGAACAAGATTCAACATTAAAATTTTCATACCTGGCAAACTTCCAAGTGGGTCACTCAGAACCTACATTGCTTTGAATGAAGGTAGAAATCTTAAAAGGAAAAGTGAGTCGGCCGGCCTTCACTTCGACATTGCTTTCTCAGAGTGGAGGTGGCAGGAGGCGACCGGAGCAGGAGTCTGTTGTCACCGGTAACTGAATGCTGTTCTGGGACAGGGGAAAGTCTGTGATGAAGTGACTGTTGGTTTAAGTACTTCCTGGAGCAGTCACTAATTTATTTAGTTCCCAAGCCCTGGAGTTTCTAGTGCTTAGTGTTGTTACAAAAATACCCATGCTATCTCAATCAGACAAAAACCCAGCGTAGAACTAGGGAAATTGACAGCAGGTCCCAGTCTCAGCTAAGGAACTGATTACTATGGGGTCAGGGAGACTAAATCTTCTTTAAGGGAGTGACTCTAGATAGGCTGATATAGACTCCAATGGATGAACTTTCAATGAGGGACATCTGGGTACAAAGGATTTAATATATATCACAGAATGCATGAAATTCAGTGGGGGTGCTACAGGGGGTGTGGATGGGGATCTAAATTTGATTAAGATCTATTATACAAAATGCACAAAAACTCAATAAAATATACATAAAAATGCAACTTGAACCTCAAATAAAAATAAAGGCAATTGGTATTAATCACTATCTAGCCTGTATTTAAGCTGTCTTCCTTAATGATAAAGTTAATGATTCCTTAATATTTCTGCATTATTTATTGATAAACGCAGGAGGTAATGGCCTATGTAATGTCAACCTGGAAGTCATTGAGGGACTAAATCAGTGACTGACAGGGTTATTTATAAGTAATAAGTATGACACACTGCTGATTTCTTGGTCTGTGAAAAAGGCCTAGGGGCTCCTCCACCATCCGGCAGGGTCATTTTTCTTTCTGACAAGTCAAGACCAGTTTAGATAAGACCAAGGCTGGACCTTGGCATCCCTCACTCAGCTTGGAGCTGTGATCTATAGGTTCTAAAATTAGGAGTGGGGGGACTTACCCATACCATTAAAGCACTTTAAATCCCAAGTCCCCCGAGGGCTTCCATTTTTTGGGCTTGAATCCTTTCTCCACTTGTGGAGAACCTTTTTTCTGTGGGAGTGGGCATGTACATGTTACTTTAGTAATGTTTGTGACCTGCTTCTCTCTGTTCTCTCTCAGAGTTTTCCTGCCTTTTAACTGGCAGGGGAAAATGAACATGATGAACACTACAGGATGGTAACACCTTGAAAACTGTGGAAAAACTCTGAACTTTGGTTAAGGCTTCTCCTACTGTGTTTTTTTGTGAAGGACAGTGGTCCTTAGATCTATTGTGGTCGTAAGACATGGGTCAAATGGCACCAGGCAGTGGATGGTGTGGTAGCTTCCCAGATGATCTGCAAAGCAGGTTAACGCAATTGCTGTGTTATGATTTAGCTGCTGTGTCCCAAACTGCCTGTTTCCTCAAAGGGGCAGGGCCTGCTGCAGAGAATTGACTGTGGAAAGAGTTCTGGGATCCTTCTTGTGATGAAAGCAGCAAGCCATGACTGGGCTGCGGCAGGCCTGGAGAAAAGATGGCCCCAGCATCTCATGCATGGTCGGGAGAAGGGGTATTTACCAACCCGGGGCAAGATTGAAGGCCCAAGATGCATGGGCAAAAGTTAACCTAGACTGTGGGTGGGCGCAGAAGCGATCTGGAATGGTGCGCTGAGCTACGCAGAGCTGGGTGCCTGGTGTGTGTTTCTATGTAAGTCCCCCATTTACTCCCTCCCTACCCAAAGGCATAAACCATAATAAATTCACATAAAAATATGTTATATGGTTTGTCTGATTGCTCAAGAGACCCCAAGAGAACTCTGGTGACAGCTGCCTACTGTCCATTTCTTCACATGGACAGAATTCGTGACGATGCATGAAGCTTTGCAGAGGTTAGTCTTTGGCAGCTTCTGTTTCCCTTGTCTTTGACAGTACTAAGGAAGTAGCAGGCTAGAGAGAGCAGCAGCAAATGGTGTCTTCCAGCATCACAACTCTCCTGTGGCTCTTGAGTATCAGGACACTTAGGTCTGTAAGTTATAGACCTTGTTCGAACCATGGGAAATAGGACCTTTCACTCTTCAAATGTTGATATTATTCTGGTGCTATGACTCAGGATTACTTAGCCAGGCACTTCATCTTCATGCAAGTTTAGGTATTAGGATTCCTCAGAACTTGATAGTGCCCAGTGTTAAAGTTCCATGGCCTGAGGTATCTGAAATCCTTTTCTCTAAAAGATTGACCACTTTCAAGAACTGTACCAATGACTGAGGCCAACTGCTTCTCTTTTTCTGGCTCTTCACAAGCTTCTGTCCTTAATCCTCTGCTCACAGTCATCATCACTCTGTCACCCCCTTCTTCCTGTCTGCCCACTCTCTCAGGTTGTTCAGTGTCTCTTTTTCAGTTGTCCACCAGCCAGCAGCCTTGTTGGCTTTGTAGTTTGGCCTGCTGGCAGCCTAGATGTCACTGCTGCATCATTCCCCTCCACTGCTGCCACTGCTTTTCCTGCTGCCTCCTTTTCATGTAACCAGCTCAGCCTTTACTGCCAAACATAGCCAAGAAAAGACACTGGAGAGAAGCTTTTAATTGATTCCAGTGATGCACTAGTAAAAGGCACCAGAAGAGGGTTTCTCAGCCCACTAGGTGAGCCTTATCAGTATGGTTATACAGTCAGAGAAGAGAGTTTGGACCAGTCATAGCCTATTGCACATATAAGTGAAAACTCCTGTTTGGACTGAACACAACACTTGTCCTTCTGCTTGGAGTCAGGGGAAGGGCCCCCTTCTGGCCTATGTGAAATTGGTTGCAGGGTTACCCAGAGTGGCACAAGGTTTGTGATGGCAAAGAAGTTAGTACACAGTGTTTGTAAAAGCCTGGCTTAGCTTGTACCTTTTGTCGAAAAAGCCAGGAGCAGCAAATTTGCATACTTTTCTTAAAGCATCTCTAAGAGATTCAAACATGCCTGGATGTCTGACTGACAGTCTTTTTGATCAAGGAAACCTGGATGGCAAAGAAGAGTTCAATGGATGCTAGTGAAGGATCCCAAATTCCCAATTGCTCAACATATTTGTCCATTTACAGGAAAGGTACGTCAGAGGGGCTACCTGTGACAGGAATTTGGAGAATTTATCAGTCATGCTAATGGTGATTTTAGCAATGCTTATATAACACTAAGCACTTAGTCCCCATGAAGAGGTGAGTGTCTTTCATAAATTTAGCTGTATGAGGAGTATCCAAAGGCAGCTAATAAAGACAATTAGATCAGAGTGCTTCTACAAGGGAGAAGAAACTTATTTATCTTAATCCCAGCCAAAGACATGGTAGAGATGATTGGATTCTGGATTTGATACCTGCGAAGACTCTACTGAAGCAGGAGTAAATCAAGAAAGCAAAGATATCTGGAGTGAAAGCAATAAACTTCTGTGGCCACTCAAGCTTCTCTTTTACAGGCTTTAAATTCTGTTTATGTGGGTGTGGATGTGGATATGTGGAGCTGGGTAGAGAGAGGAACAGTAGGAAGGTCAGACAGCAGTCAGAAGGAGACAGCCCAGATATCACAGTGTCCAGGACACATGGCTGAATGGATGACTCAACATATTTCCCCTTCTTTAATCATTTCATGTAAAACATGTCCTTAGTTTGGATCTAGGATCAACATGTGAATCACTTAGTGGTATAGCTAATTCCAAGCAATGTACAATATGCCGCTCCTTAGAGCTGAAATTTTAATAAATGAAACAAAATCACACTAAATATGCATTTTCCTTGACTTTTAGGGAATGGGTAAAAAACTAGAGATTTGTCCCATTACACAGACATTTCAGACCAAAGAAAATAGGTTGACCTCTGTAGATTACTAGACAGTCAAAGATTAATCAGAAGAAATGGGTATGCAAGATTTCTGTTCTAGTTTACATCTATATTGTTGTTAAAAACAAAACAAAACAAAACAAAACAAAACACTGACCAAAAACAACTTCGGGAGGAGTCGTTTTATAGCACGGTCCTCATTAAGGTGAGCCAGGTTGGTTTGAATGAGAATGTCCCCCATAAGCTCCAAGTATTTGGATGTTTTGTTTCCAGTTGGTGGTGCTGCTTTGGGAGGTTTTAGGAGGTGTGGCTTTGCTGAGAGGAAGCATGTCACTAGGGGCCGGCTTTGAGAGTTCTGAAGCCTTGCAGGATTTCCACTTTCTCTTTGGTTCCTGAGCCTGCTTGAAGTCTTGATCACTTGGCTTAAAGCTCAAAGTACCTCTGCTCCCCTGCTTTATTAGTCACTTCTCTGCGGCTGTGATAGAAACACTGACTGACCAAAGCAAATTACTGAAGGAAGAGTTTATTTGAGTTTAGGATTCCAGAGTCATTACAGTCCCTTCTGTCAGGGAGACATGGTGGAAGCAGGTGGCTGGAGCAGGAGCAGAAAGCAGAGCACTCACATCTTCAAGGAAGCACAGGAAGCAAGAGAGCAATTTGAGACCAGGCAAGACTTAAGAACTCTCTAAGCCCACCCCCACTGACGTGCTTCCTCCAGCATAGCCACCCCTTCTAAGACCTCCCAAAACAGCACTACCCACTAGGGACTAAATTTCCAAATACTTGGAGCCTATGGGGGACATTCTCATTCAAACCACCACATTCACTATCATGAACTCTAAACTTCTGGAGCCATAAGCCAAATAAACTCTTCTTTCTATAAGTTGTGTTGGTCATGGTGTCTTACCACAGCAACAGAAAAGTAACCAATATACCCCTCAAAACTAGATGATGAGGTCCTTCATATAAGTACCTCATGACCCTGATATTAGTCTAGTTTGATATGTTCTAGTTTGTGCCTAAATTTCTGTGTTAAAACACTGACCAAAATCAACTCTGGGGAAAGGGTTTATTTCAGTTTATAGTATAGTCCTCCATTGAGAGAAGCTAGGGAAGAAGCTCAAACAGGAAGCTGGAGGCAGGAATTGAAGCACAAATCATGAATGAAATTGCTTACTGGATCCTCTGACCTATGCTCAGCTTACTTTCTTATTCAATCCAGGACCTACCCTGGAGTGGTACCACCCATATTTAACTGGGTTCTCCCATATCCCTCAACAATTAGAAAATCCCTCACAGATATGGCCACAAACAAATCCAATAGAATAAA